GATTGGCCGTTGTTTCCTTGGTGTTTTGGTGGTTTCGTTTTTGAAGGAGTTAATGAGTCTTTGATGGTCTATTTATGTATTGCAAGGGATTTTCATATTTGTAGTTTTTGTATTTGTTTTGTGTGTTTTGGTGTGTTTGCAGTTTTTTCACTTATCATTTGTCATGGTGGCGATGTCTCAATTTTCGTGGAGGCAGCGGCAGTTGTACTTTGGCGTTTGGTGCTGTTTCTGCTTTTGATTGGCTCTGGCTTTATGCTAGTTTTGGACTATGACTTTATGTCAGTTTTGGACTCTAGCTTTATGCTTATTGTAGACTTTATGCCTGTTTGAGTTTTATTTCTAGTGAGCTTTTATTGTTGCATTTGTGTAGACTCATTTTTATAAGTTCCACTATCATGTAATTGGTATTATCTTTCTATTAATGAAACTTGATTCCAGCAACAACAAAAAAATCAGTGACTGGTTAGTGGCCCTCTTTGTGATATTACCATTAGAAACTTCGACGGACCCAAAATTTTGTGCTATACTCACAGTAATTATAATTTTTTTTTGGTATATTTCATAATATCCCAATTTTTTTTTAGCAGCTATTATGAATTTTGGATAAGATTCACTTATTTTTATATGAAAAGATGATTAGGTCATCAATCTTGTCTACCTCATTGAAAATCTCGATTTTATTTTTATATAATCTTCATAAAATATGTATATATTGCCAAAAACTTTTAGTAACTTGTGTAGCTTCCTAATTTTAAAATGTTAGAATAAAACTAATAATATTTTACCTACTAGCTCTTAATTTAATGGTAATTTTCCTCATAATATTCTTTTGAAATATTACTTTGAAGTCACAAGTTCAACTCCCCTTAACTCCATTAATAAGAAAAACATAATAATCAATTAAACTAATATATTAGTCTAGTGGTACTTCCTCGATTCATGACTATTATCCTCATTAATCGAAAGTGAAGGACTCGAACATGGGACCTAAATCTAAGATTGAGAAGATAAATATCGCTAAATCAAGAGCCAATTGATATAACTTCACCAAATTCCAAGTAAGCAAACGTGTCATAAGGAATGGGCTTGTTGGGAAGCCAAAGATCCCAAATCATGCTTGTACCTTTAACAAGTTTGAAACAAAAGATTTGCCAAATTAAGGAAAAAAGTGATGAAGGCGCTCAATCCAGAAAAGGATTGGGCTTGCCGGGCAGCCAAACACCCCCAAATGATGACTACATAATAATAAAAAGCAGAGAGAGAGCAGAGGGTGCCACAATTGTCAAAAATTGTTGTCACAGAGAAGCAGCGTGGAGCTTCTTCAGTGTGAAGTAGTGAGCTTCAACTTCAACGATTACAAAAGAAACCAGACTAGTGAGCTTCGTAGAAGCACTAGAAGCATAAAAAGACGATAAATTTGAATCTGATTTCTGACATGACCTTCAGAGCGTCACGCATGTCAGCTCGATCCTTTAAGCTTTTCACACATTTGCCTTCCATGCAAGCCCCTCCTCTCCTCTCTCGCCAGGTAACCCCCCATCCGTTTGTGATTTGTCTCTGTATATGTGTATTTATATCGCCCAAGAGCTCAAAGAGCCTCAAATTTCAGTTCTGTAGCAGTAAGCAGTTGTAAGTATTGGCCCTCTCTCTCTCTCTCTCTCTCTCTGTATGTGAAGATATGATCATGAATGAATATGTATATGCTTGGTTTGATTGTAAATGTTGATGAAAAGATGAAGTTTTGAATTTGAGGTGGTTGATTGATAATCAAGAGTCAATGTTGCACAAGAAATATGGTTCTGTTTGTTGAATTTCTGAATTTCATTCAAAATAGTCATGAGTTTTAGTTTTAAAGCCTGCCTTAGATTGTTTTGTTTGTTATCGAGATGGGTCTGTGCGATATTGGGTTTGATTGAATATGGTTGTTGCTAATGTTTGGGATGTTGAAGGAGCTTTCCAGTTTATATTGGAACCACAAAATGCTAATATGCATCCCTTGCATTTTCGACTGTGTGCTCAGACATGCATAGATATATAAAAATCAGTGCATAGAAATATCAATAGAAGGACTGATGCATACATGGTGATATCAAATGTTGTTATAGTCCTGACATGGGCAGAGGTTTAATATCTAATTTTTTTTTTCTCCATTCCTTCAAAATTTTGTATATAAAAGCATGTTGCAAATGAGATTGCTTTTTCTACTCTAGTACTTTTGTTTAATTAGGTTTGGGGTTCTGTTCTTAATACTCAATAATGGTACATGTTGAACTTGTGTTATTCTACAATTTATTTGTAGAATTTTCTATCTTAAAGTAGTATTTATCAATATGTTAATGTTTGAATGGGGGATTCTTTGACAGATTAGCATGGATGTAAAAAGTTTTGCTTCTCGGCTTAGTAGTTCTGGCCTATTACGTAGCCAGGGCCTTATCGGAGGGAAATGGTCTGATGCATATGATGGGAAAACCATACAGGTATGAGCTAGGAACCTCTTCGTTTCCTCTGATACCTATGCCTTTGGATGATCTTTACATTAAATCTATAAATGTCATCTGGTTCTGAACATTGCTGGTTTCACGCCTCATTTTCTTTTGATTACATGTTGTTTGTTTGAGATAGGAGCACCTACTTATGACCATACTTAATTAAATATTAGTTCTGTTGGGTCCACCTACCAACCTTCACACTGCATCCTTCGTTCCTCTCCTCGATGTTTTCAGAAATCACTTCTATTTCATATCATGGCAGGTTCACAATCCAGCAACTGGCGAAGTAATAACAACTGTCCCATGCATGGGTCAAAAGGAGACAAATGATGCAATATCTTCAGCCTATGGTGCATTTAATTGTATGGGAACTGATCCACGTTGTGAATTTGTGATTACGTTAGACAGTTGAAGAAATTTATCTACTGCATTTAGCATACTTCCATAAACTGAGCTAATCGATGCTTTTATTATCTTGCAAATGTAGATGACATCTGTTTAACATAGCCTAAGGTTGTAAATAATTCTTTTACTAATTTAAGTATCTGAACTTATTATCCTGTGTATAGCTTGGAGCAAGCTCACTGCTGCTGAAAGGAGCAAATGTCTAAGGAAATGGTATAATTGCTGTCCTGTGATTCTATATCTGGTTTTCATCTGGTTCTGAACATTGCTGGTTTCACGCCTCATTTTCTTTTGATTACATGTTGTTTGTTTGAGATAGGAGCACCTACTTATGACCATACTTAATTAAATATTAGTTCTGTTGGGTCCACCTACCAACCTTCACACTGCATCCTTCGTTCCTCTCCTCGATGTTTTCAGAAATCACTTCTATTTCATATCATGGCAGGTTCACAATCCAGCAACTGGCGAAGTAATAACAACTGTCCCATGCATGGGTCAAAAGGAGACAAATGATGCAATATCTTCGGCCTATGGTGCATTTAATTGTATGGGAACTGATCCACGTTGTGAATTTGTGATTACGTTAGACAGTTGAAGAAATTTATCTACTGCATTTAGCATACTTCCATAAACTGAGCCAATCGTGCTTATGCGTTTATTATCTTGCAAATGTAGATGACATCTGTTTAACATAGCCTAAGGTTGTAAAAAATTCTTTTACTAATTTAAGTATCTGAACTTAT